GTTTTTGCGTTTTCGTGTAGGCGGGCGAAAACGATTTGAATACGCTACGTGTGGATGAGCATCTTTTTGAAAACGGAGAAAAAGATCTCCGTTTTCAAAAATATCCGGATACGTGTGGAAGGGACCTCAAAGAGATGTAACCTGAGAGATTAAAGCAGCCGTCATTTTTGCGTCAGGAAATGTCAGCTGTTTTCCGTTCAGGCTAAGGAAAAAGAGGCGGCAGTGGTTTACTATACTATTACCCGCACGTACCAAAATTATAATCGAGGAGTTTATTTATGAAAAAAAAATTAATAGACACTAGATATCAATTTTTTACCTGAAAGGCACGCTGAAAGTTGTAAGAATTACCTTAATTTTACTCATTTTTGCGAAAACTCCGAAGCCGCGTTTCTTGAGTATTAGATGCGGATTTTGTTTTTTTGATTAAAAAGCGCGAAAATTTGTAGGCCTAAGTTGTTGTTGTTTTTTTTTTCTCCAGGCGTGGTGTATTTGTAAGCAATGTGCAGGCTGAATGTGGAGCTACGCTACTGGTGTGAAAGTGGAAACAACACTGACAACTGAGTTTGGTTCCGTTAAAATACACAGAGCTGACTGGGTATTTATAAAGTTCAAGAAATGTTAAACATTTCATTGGCATTTCTGTATTTAAAATAATTGTTGCCTTTTTAAGCAAGAATTAGTAGCTACAGGGCTAGGCCGGCCATATTTAGTGTCACACGCATCTTGGCTGTAACTAATCTTCCCTTTTAGATTCCCTTAGATTTTTAGTCAGTTTTATTGTTGCCCAAAGTAGATTAAGCTACTAGTTCCATACTGAACTTTGAACATCACTGTTTAAACAAGCATCACATTTTATATTTTTAAATTATTAATGCCTTCAACTTATGCAAATGACATTCAGAAGAAAAATCATAGAACAAAACGAAAGCAACACAATTACACAATCGCCATCTGGGAATACTGCGTTGAAAGCCTGATCGTTTATAACAATGCTCAAGACAAATACACATATTTATTTCAACACTGCTTGCCATTGCCACAACAACAAAATGGTACAGATTGCCCGCGTTGGTAGAAAGGCGAAGATAACAACTTTGACGCTGTTGCTATTAGTTTTCAGTGTTTCAGTTGTAAGTTTTAATGTTGTTTTCTTAATTCCATGGCAACTCAATCGATCATCTCTTCGAAACTGGAAGTAAGGATTTGAATTTACAGAAACCAACTTTACTACTTCAGAGGATAAAATCAGGCCTGGATATATTCCGTCCAAGGGTTTGAACCAACATATACGTGGGAAAAAACTGCCTGATAAGTCTTGAACAACTTCGCAACTTTCCAGTCTTTCCCAAGGCACCTGATAAAAGAAGCTTGGTGAAGAATGTTAACATCTCCTTGTCAGCCAGCGAGGTTGATGGTCTGCAGTTGCTGGGCTTTCCTCAGTCGAATGTACTGGCGAGTATCTTTTCGCCGTTACGTCGAATGTATTTTGCCGAGGTTTGGTTAAGTTCAAGCCATAACTGGAAAAACGGACGGAAAATTGAATACACCAAACCTATAAATACAATTGCAGTGGGTTTTGGAATAGTGGATCACAAACTTCCCACTAACCGATTTAAATTGTTTTTAGGACATAAATACTACATTGAGATAATATATTCTCGTGGGGGGCAAAGTGAAGGACAAAGTTTAATCCATCTTGCTTGGAAAAGACCGGATAGAACTGGCTTTGAACTTATACAACGAGAGTTTTTCTCACCATATAGAAACGACAGTGATAAAGCTCAGATGTGCTTGCCTGTACACTGGCAACGCTAAACAGCAGTAACAGGTACATGAAGCCAGAAACACTTCCAACGTGATGGAGAAGCTCGTGTGGTAGCCCTTGAGGAAAGTTGCCCAGGGTAAGTTGATTGTTCTTCTAACATAGAGAGTACGCCATTTGCATGACAGTGATCACGTGATCAACTTTCGCTAATAACGAAAACAGTTCACTTTTGAAAAATTTTGTTAACACAAGCTGAAAAAAACATGTTAATATTAGGAAACCTGAACGGCCGCCAAAGGTTAAAAGCACTTGTATGAGAAAAACAACTTTTGCCACACAGTCGCGTATGCATAGTTTTCCATACAAATCCTTGTAAATTTCGAAATTTTCAAAACTGTCATGAAATATCTCCTTAAGCATTTCGGGGTTCAAATCTTCTTTTAATTTATAACAGGCAATTTGAGCTTTTAAATCGGTAAGGGAGAGATTTAACGACAGTTTAAAAAGTTAGAATTTACAAGGATTTGTATGGAAAACCACTCAAACGCAGAGTTGCTTTTCTCATACGAATCCTAATTTTCGGCGGCCGTTGTGATCGCTACTTTTGAGATATAGAGCTGAAAATTTACAGGTTACCTAACTTTAATATGCTCTTTCAACTCGTGCTACGAAAATTGATCACGTGTTCACCGTGCTAATGGTATGGGAACCCCAGCCAAATACCTAAGAAAAAGTGGTTTGCCTGTGATCGACTAAGGCCCGTTCCATTGGATACCTAACCAATTTCCTTTTCGTTTCTAAAGTAGTGAATTCTCAGGGTCCTCAATAGGTTTTACGGGTCCCGGGATTTCCCTTATTTGAAGCTCGGGATTCGGGATTTGGGATTTGGGATTTGGGATTTGGGATTTGAAAGCAAAATCGGGGGCGAGTCTCGGGATTGAAAGTATGCTTGGGAGGTGTGGGATGCCAAAATAACCTCCTGGACTACGGGATTACACGAAATTTTGGGTCGTATTCACAGGATTGAAGAACCCTATTGGAGACCCTCAATTCTAGAAACAAAGAATTTAAACAAGTGTTTCCAGTGGCTTACAGGCCTAGCATATCATCCTTTTCTCTGTTCTTGTATAAACACGAGCCTTTTTTAACAGAAACTGCAAACAAATTTTTAAGTAGCTGTATTCTCCGTGTTGAACTCTGAGTAAATTTCCAGGTCAAACAATAGATAATATTGAGAAAATTAGTTGACTAAATCAGTTTTAAGGCAGAGATTGTACGATGAATTTTATTTTATTCTTTAATTCAAAAGCTTAGGATTCGTGCGCTAGCCAGCAAGTGCTAGCTTGATGAGAGCAAAGCTGACGCACACGAGCGCTCAAACCGTCTTATAGATAACACTCTGATGTCATTAAAACAAATAATGATTATTTATTTTCTTCTGTATGGTATTTTTGATGCAGAAAATACAGTCTCGAGTCTATTACGGGCGTAGAGATGAAACATGATCCTTAGAGAGGAGGCAGATACTTTCTTCAACTTGTTGTTAAAGATCTGATGGACGAAAAGAGCTTTAACCTCGAAGAATATATGTTTCAGCCATACGACAAAAATGGGTATTTGTGTTACCCCATGGGAATGCAGTGGAACAGGACAGTGGATGTCTATCTGAATCGCACGGCCAATAACCTGGGTCAATGGGTTCACCATTTTATCAAGAACGTTGAAAAAATCCTTCGGGAAACAAAAGATGAACATTTACACGTGATTATTTACGACTATGATAGCCCGGATAATGATTTAAAGCAGGCACTCCAAAGAAGTACGTTAAAGAACTAAAAATACATTGCAAAACCTGGAAGATATTCTCGCGTGGAGTCTTTTAGTGAAGCTATACAATCAATTTTGAATCCGGAGGCCATTTTCGTCACCATAGATCTACATCTCGATATTGGAAGTCAGATGGTGAATGATTTACGCAAGGTCAGTGGTTAATTCACTTCAGTGCATCCTTGAAAGATATTGGCCACTTGCACATCTCCCATAATGCACCTTATTTGTCCCCCAAAGTTTTGCATTAAGCATATTGTTTTCCATTTCTCTTGGGACGGCTGTAATACTCAGGAGAAATGAAAAACAAAGGTTATGAAAAATTTTGGGCGGCAAATAAGGTGCATTATGTGAGATGTGCAAGTGGCGAATTGCAGCCTGAGAAAACAGCCCACATTTCGCTACGCCACCGGTGGTTTCCTCGCGAAATAACGCCTGAGAAACGAGCGCAGAAATTCCATACTGATGACGCACAGTACCCTTTTCTGTGTACAGCTTCTGATTGGTTGAAAATTTGCTTCATCCAATCAGAAGCAGTACCTAGATCTGGGTTGTGACAGGTCATCAGTATGGAATTTCTGCTCTCGTTTCTTAGACGTCACTTGGTGTAGAAACCACCGGTGCCGTCGCGAAATATCGGCTGTTTTCTTTGGCTAAAGGTAACACGGTTATTGGTTCCTGCATCCTGCATCTATTTATGCATACAAAGCCAAAAGTTGTACTAAATTTGTTAACCAAAAACCTTTTGTTCATCAGTACCTACAATCGGCGACAATCCTCATTCAAAGTTGGGGTGTTTATTGTTTTCTATATTGGTAGCTCGAACAGCGGCACAAAATTGCATGGAGGAAATAGGGGAGGAAAAGCTTGATTTTCTCCTTTAGAAGTCAGTAAAACGTCAGAAAGCCCCTTTAGGGCGAAGTATGTCAACCAATTTTGTCACCGATTGTAGACTGTTCACAGTCTCCTATGTTTTCGTAAGAACATCGAGATCGCGGGCTCACAATTACGGGCGGTTATCGTAGTTTTAAATCCACTGATGCGGCGGGCCCCGGGGTTAATAGCGGTGGGGAAAGGGAGGCTAGAAAAATAGCCGTCCCCCTCCCCCTAATTAAATGTCGTGATATATTACCTTATCGCGACCTTAAAGGGTGTCTAGCCGGAAGTTTATGAGAACTATTGTAAGTGTGTGTGTTTCATGTATTTTTTAGTGCCTCAGATCAGTATATGATTCTGGGAAGCTTCCCACCTACCCCTTCCCCAATCGAACATTTTGAACTAAGTGAGGAGTTATTGTTAAGCCCATTACATAGAAGGGGCAATTTTTTTGAATTACACCCATAAGACAAATTCCTTATTTCCCTTTAGGGGTAGCCTAAACATCTGACACCATATATATGGTTCAGAATATATTTGAGCTGGACTGCGAGGTGTCACATAATTTCCTTACTGAGGGAAATTTGTGCACCCAAGCGGCAAGAAAGGGGAACGTAAATGTTTTTGTGTAAGCACGTTCTCTTGTAAACGTCTTAGCTGAGATAATAATTCGACACATTGTAGAAAAAAGGCGCAATGCAGTTAGTCTGTATGGAATAATATATAATGTAGAATAACCGCACGTGCTACGTTCCGTTCGGCTAGTTTAATACTGCACAAAGGCTCTTAATTCAGTGTAGGATTCAGAAGCTGCGCGAAGCCAACTCAAAACTCGAACAAGAGAGCAGCAGCACATGTGCGGCACCTGCTTACAAGCTTGTCTTAGCTACAGCCTTGTCGTGCGCTCGTTCTCTTTATAGCACGCAGCACAAAACTGACAAATGCGCGCATGAAAGGCGTTAGACTAGCAGTTATTTTCTTTTTTCATTAATACATGTAAGTATTTCTCTGTTTGGTTTTAGGACTGTTTCAAAGGAAAGACGGTTTGCGCTCCTCAAATGGTGTTTTAAAATTGTGGTGGGAGTAGCGCATTGCCCAAAGGAGACTGGTATCTTATGAGCTATAGCATAGTAGCAATGTATAAACAGAACTGGGACAACTTTGGAGGATTCTCAAAGGATTTTTTCAACAAGAAAGCATGGGGCGGAGAGGACTGGGACATAATCGACGGCGCCGTCAAGAGTGGACTAAAAATAGAGCGAAAACGATGTCTGTGGATTTGCCATTACTATCACACTAAAGTGGGAATGTGGAATCAAGCAACTTGAACCAGTTAAAAACTGGACTGAAATACATAAATAAGCTTCATCTAGAATCGAAATAAAAGAAGGAACGAAGTACTTATATACCAACAAGAAAAGGATAGAGGATTCACATGACTTTTTCGAAAAGAAAACGTGGGGCGGGGAGGACTTGAACCCGAGACTAGTGATCGACATCGCCGTTGACAGTGAACTGGAAATAGAGGGAGAACGATCTATCTAAGATTATTACCAAAATTAAAGGGGTATGAACTTAGAATATGTAGGCCTCTTTTAAAGAATTAAGTTTACATTCTACCATTGTTAGAAATTGGTCAAGTTATAGATGGAAAAAAGTAGAATCTGTCCACTCTGGATTTGAGTACCAATGGAGTATTGACAGTATTTGTTGAGATATCCCATGACATTTCGGGAAAACAACACAGTCACCCCTTATAAAGTTGTCATGTCGCGCATGTTATTCAGGCGGATTTTTCTTACGCTTTGCGTACGGGCCCGGAAAAAAGTCAGAAACTAGTACCCCCTAACCCGCGCCCCCCACGGTTACTTGGGTGGTGGAGACGCATGACATTTCAGACTTGTAAAAAGTTGGGGTGTACGTTAGCCTGTTCCAGGCGTTCAGATGGTGGGGAGCGGGCGAAAAATTGACGAGGGAAAAATAGGGCGCCTGTCTCCCCTAGTTTTTTTCCCCTCGTGTTTCTTTTTGCGCTCGCCGCGTACGATTTAACTTGCTCCCCACTATCTAAACGTCTGGAACAGGCTACGTGTACGTATGGCCGGTCCATCATAACTCCAGATAAAAAGAATATATAGTTCCTGTTAAAACCTTCACAACAGTCACGAGTCCTTTGTAAAACGCGGTGTAAAACATGCAAACTTCCGCGTTTACAGCTCTTATCCCCTCATGACCGATCGTGAATGATCTCGTAAACAATCTGGGGTGTGGATCCAGAACCATGGATAAATATCGTCACCAGTTAGGCAACTGTAAACGCATAAGTTTGTGTACATTTTCTGGACTCATTGAGGACATAACCTGGGCAGTGTAGTAAGACAACTTATCCACTTGGTATGAATTGTTTTCCGTGCTTTAGTTTCTTAGAACGTAAAATACTTTTACAGTAATCTGTTAAAACTACTTTATTCAGTTCAATAGGATTTATCTTTTAACCTGATGAAAAAAATAACCGAGCAAAGGAAATAAATAAATAAAAAACTGCAAATTTAAGGGGAGAGGGCCACGCATTAATTGATATCTGCTAAGTTTATTCGATTGTCCGTTTTGTCCGCACAACAGGCATACCAATGTAAAATAACTCAATCAACAGGTATGGCAACCCTAATGCAGACTGAACCATTTATACGAGCATGTCTTACCTAAGTCTTCTGTATACTTAAACTTACTTTTAAAGTGTAAGTTTATAATACGAAGATAGCAAATTGATTAGCAAATATAAATTGTGATAGTTTAAAGTTAAAAGGGTCTACTTACACCAGCAGATGTCACGCATTTGTCCAGGAGGTCTGTTATCGTCTTCTCCTTACATAATAACAAAAACCATTTTTCCTCCGCGATAAACCAAGTGTTTCTTTTCACCTTTAACGGCGTGTTCATTGTATTTGAGCGAAGAAAAAAATAAACCAGAATAGACAAGGAAACGAACACGCGTTGTAATTTGTCAACAATTTTTCCCCGCCAATCCACCGCGGGGCAAGCGATAATTTTCCCGCCCAAAATTTAACGCATGCGTACTATGCGTTCGCGTCATAGGACCATTTACGTTCTTCCTGGGCTCTCCGGTGTTGCCTTCGCCGCTTAGCATTGCACGAGTTTATATATTTTTTGAACAAACTATAAATATTATCGAGAGCTTCGCTTTTAGTCCTGGTTAAATCTACATATTAACGTGATAGTACACCGACCGACCGTCCGTCCGCACCACAGGCATACCAAGGTTATGTTGGCAGGAAACCGCATAGCCACCCGTGTCTTGTAAAGAGGCAGCTAAAGAGTCAACAAAGACGAAAACGGAAAACGGAAATTGTTTCTGTATTCGAGTTGTCTAAAGAATTAAGCTTAAATTAATTTTCATGTCCACAAATTTGGAATATAGAGCAGGAGAAAAACAGAGAAAAAGAGAAAGTAGGCGGCAGGCCAGAGAAACTCAACCAGAAAAAGGGCGACAGAGATCTAGAGGGAGAGATAAAAAACAAAGGAAACATTTTTTTTGTTGGAAGAACAACATGAAAATTTTGTAGCGGCGGTGACAAAATGAAAAATGCTAGCGGCTACTAATGCAAGGAAAAAATGAGCAGCAGTGAAGAAAAAAGTGAAAATAACACGTACGACATTTCCTCAATAAAAAGTTTGTGGAAGTTTCACGCAGTAATCGTGCAAAACAACGGCAAAGAAATGCACAAAAAAAGTGTGCTGCACGTGCAAAGTTGCCGTTTTGCTAATTAGACCTATTGTTGTTTTTCACCGTTCTCCGGCGTTGCCTTCGCCGCTTAGCATTACACGATTTTATATTTTGTTTGAACAAACTATAAATATTATCGAGAGCTTCGCATTTAGCCCTGGCTAAATCTATATATCTGATATATTACTCTGATAGGGGACGATTGGGGATTTCCGATGTGAGATTAGAGCGCCCCTCGCGCCCATACTTCTCCTACCCAACTCTCTCGCTAGCTCCTTTAAACAGACACTTTATTTCAACACTGAGTATCTTCAATTAAAGAAGAGCAGAAAAGAAGGAGAAGAATAGAAAAAAGCAATGGTGGCACTGAGTTTTGATATTACCTCATTTACGCCATAAATAGTATGTGCTTCCAGGAGGATCCTCGTGTTTCTTGCTCCGGCGCTAACTATACGTTACAACTGTAAGTGACAGAAATTGTTCTGTCTTTACTGCTTAAGTTCATACCGAAGTGACTTGAATCGGGGCGATGTTGTTTAGAAACGACCCGTTTCCCCTAACCATTGTGACTCATAAAAACGTCCTCGGCAGTAAATACCAACAGTATAATTCAGCAATTCAGTTTCAAATTGTTTGTGGACTTTTGGGGGCTTTCTCTAACCTGCTATACAGTTGTCTTTATTAGCTCAATTGAATAGAGCTTTAAATCCAGTCATCGTAAACGTTTGGCTTCGAATACCAGTCAGGCTTAATTATTTTTTTGTTTCTTTCCAACCCCCGGCCAATTAGTTTGAGCATAGTGCGAGCGACACACCCACATCCACTCTGTCTCCTATGCGCAGTTCACATATTTATTTCATTATATTCACACTCTCATATCACCTCTTTATCAGCGCAAAAGATCAAAAACCGAGCTTCATCACCTTTTTCGTTTTTTCGATGCCAGCGTAGGAAGCTTTTTGGGCGCTGTCGCGTGCGATCCGCGCGCGAGGGAATCGCACGCAAACTTCGTCCCCACTCTCCCCACGTTTGTTTTGAACGAGAAGAGAGGGACTAAACAAAATTTAAAGATGGCGGACAGAGGGCATGGTTGTGCTTCATTTTCCTGGAGTTTCAAGGTTTGTAATGATTATTTATATGTTTTTTAAGCGACGATAATTCAACTAAAACATAAGATCTCTTTTGGGAGCAACTTCAGATTACCTGGCCACATCATTTACATTTGTCGGAACGCTTTAAAGAACGAGGTTTAACACAATAGGCACTTTTGTTATTCAATGATATGCAAAGAAGTGGCCGGGTATTCCGAAGTTTAGCTTCTCTTTTTTATGATTTCTTAAAGTGCATAGTAGTATGTTTTTACCTGAAGTTTGCTTCTCACTCAATGCGGTCCAAACAGTGGTATTTGTCTCTGGTTTAAATTTTCACTCTAGGAAAAAGGAGATGAATGTGGGTGGTTGAGTCCATCACCGATACATTCATGATATCCAACAACTCATCCAACAATAATAATTATCGATGTAGTTATGAATAATTCATATATTGGAACTGCAGGGTGAAGAATTATATAGAGGATATTACACAGTGACGCGAAGATATGAATTTTATTTTCGAGTAGCAAAACAATATTTTACGAATGAACGCAGCGAGTGAGTAAAATGTTGTTTTTGCCACAAGAAAATAAAATTAATATCTTCAAGCCGCCATTAATGTTCTTTTTATTATCTAGACAAAAAGACATTGATAAAATAATAGAGGGAAATTACCTAAATTATGTCATCGATAAACTCACGTGTAAGATTATGGAAAATAAACCACTCGGGTCTCGGATGTAGTTTTTATGAATTTTACGAGTGGCATATTTTCCAGTAAAACACTTGTGTCTATATAATAAATAAAAGTAGATCATTGCAGTAAAAGACGCAACTTTTGCAGTTGTGAAAAGAAAGCCTGAAAAAATTCTGGCTTGTATGGGATTCGAACCCTTGACCTCTACGATACTGGTGCACCACTCTACCAATAGTCCAGTTTTGAGTTCGCTATGAGCGCTGAATTTAAGAAGTGAAGAGTCACACATTTTTACAGGCGTAGCCTCCACCTGAAGTAATATATTCACAAATTCCAACGAGAAAAAGACCTGTTTATTACTCTGTCTATTGTGTATATTCAAATTTCAAACACTTACTTGCTGGAATTTCTGAATATTTTACTTTATGTTGAGGCTAACCCTGTATAAATGTGCCGATAATGTTTGTATTCAGCGGTAATTTTTAATTCGAAACTGGACTCTTGAGCTAACTGTGGAAACTGGGAATAAGAATCGTTGCATGATCGAAGTCATGCATGTTTTGCGAAGAAACCTTAGCAAAGATTAAATTTAGAGCTTTTTTGAAACGTGTTGGTCCACGAATTCTGTTGCTTCAAAGTGTTGATTACTTTGGAACAAGTGAACACTACTGAGTGGTTGAAAAAAATAAGAATCTTGATTAGCAAAACTGCAATGGTCGGGTGTTGTAAACTTTCATTGTATGCAAATGGATCTTGTGATGAGCATGCGGTTAATTTTCTGCGATGATTGAAATAATG